CATATCACTTCATGTCAATATGTGCAGAGGTCGTTCGGAATGTCCAGTGTATTTAGAAGTTTGAGAGGAAAGTCTAACTAGTACTACATGACATTTTTTTTGCAGGAACCATTACATGATTTCCCGGCAAACATATGGTTATTGATTTCTGCCCCAATAACATACTGTTATATTCAGAATATGTTCGTGTCTGAATAATCTAAGAATCGATACAAGTGTCCGCTTAGATTGTGTTTCTTACTCAACAAAGACTTGGAGAATAATGCATGGAAGCAAAGGCTGGATATATAGCTCTGGAGCGAGTATCTAAACATTGTAGGTAATTCAGTATGCCCTCTTAAAATTTATTTCTCGTCTTGAAGTTGTGCTCTCCACTAAACAACGATTTTGGTAACTTCATTAACTTACTGAGATATTAGTCAACTGTAACCCCAATTAACTTCATTGACAATGTTATGGATATTAAGTTCATAGGCAACAAAATCGGGGGCATTGTACGTTCTGTGATAGTAACAAGGACTTAACTAAGTCTCTGGGCCTGTCTACTTTATAGCGCACATGAATGGTTAATTTTTGCTGCCATATGGTTCAAACATCCTCTCTGAAAGGTCCAATTTAATTGGACTAATCAATATCTTAACTGAAGTTGAGTACTGGCTATGAGTTTGTTTCTCTGATAAGGAAAGCAGAAATAATATATCACAAAAGCCCGTTCTCAATCATCAAAGTACACATCTTTCTTTTATTGATTATTTTGCCGTCTGGTATGTCATACTTTCCAATCTCTGGATCACTAAGATTTTGCCTTCTTTTTTGTCAAGACTGCAACAGGAGTGTAAATACAAGTAGTGCCATATCTGAATATGTTATCACTCTCTACAAGGTGGCGTATATTTCATTGTTGGTTCTCATTAATATTGTACATGGCTTTGTAGGGGAACACTAATTCATCCCATGTTAGCTTGGAGGACGACACTATGGATGACCACATCGGTAATGTCAACACTGGAGCAATGATGGTGAGAACATTGATTATAACAACTGTACATCTGGAGGAGCATCTCGCTAGTCCACCTGCACTTGGAACTAATGAATGACTATCTTATGGTATTTTGGATCTCTCTGGTGGTAGTACATGCTCATTAGCAAACTTAATTAGGTGCTTACTATTTGCTGCAATTTGATGGATCCGAAATAGTGAAGTGATATGTACGTAGGTGATGCTCCTTATCATGAACCTGGGTGACTTAGAAATGTGTGTATTTTGTTGTCATTGCTCTGTGCGATGTGATGGATGAGAACCAGATTAATGTCATGTATGTGTAGAATTGTTGTTGCTTTTGACCAAGTGCATGTACAGCTTTTGATATGTCAATTGCTGCTGGATGTTGAATCATGGTTTAATGGACTCGTATGTGTTATGTAAACATTTATTTTGGATGCATTTTCTCATATATGGGGCATTGGATGTATGCTTGCATTTATTTTAAGGTCACAGAATGGAAGTAGGCAATTTCTGAAAATATATATCCTGGCGGCCTTTTCCTCACGGCCACCCGTCACAAAAGGTCCTCCGTAAACCTGACGAGACAGGAAACTTTCGTGTGGGCTGGTGACAGGAACAGCCGACAGGAATTATTTTCCTGTCGGGCACCCGTCAGGCATTAGCACATTTCCCTGTCATTTTATTCCTGACGGGTTTTGCCTGTCGGTCAACCGACAGGAAATAGTTTCCTGGCGGTAATAGCTATTTTCCTGTGAGTTTCTGGCCGTCAGGAAAAGTCTAGTTTCTGGTAGTGTTGAGTTCTGAATTGTGATACATATGTAGCGCAGATGATCCCATCGAGTCATATTCAAGCAAGTTAATTAGGAGAGTTTCAACTCATGTCGCGTGTCCGGCCGTGTCACTGATCCTTAGGTGAGGTGGTAACCTAAACCAGCTACAGAACCCAGCCTTGGTTAAAGTATGAATATTTGCAAATAAGGGACTCCCCTCCCTCTCCTTTTTAAGCCTGCATATAAGTTTTGTTGAAAGTCAAAGTATATCCACTTTGACCAAATTTATAAAAAAAAGTATTAACATTCACAATGCCAAATCGATATTCTTAGATTCATTATGAAATGTAGTTTTATAATATATATATATTTGTTATTGTAGACGTTGATATTTTTTAATATAAATTTCGTCAAACTTTGTAAAGTTTGACTGGACAAAAATCTAATACACGGAGTAAAAAGGACAGGTGGGAGTATATTTGGAACCAGGGGCCATGTTTAGTTAATCCTAGCTAGCCACCCTGCCGCATGCTACACGCATGTTGACCTCGATAGGTGTGTGCAATAAATTCGGGCTTGATGATACAATTCCATCGGATCATGAGTGACCCAGATTAATGTCTTGTTGCAGGCGCTGCATGTTGTGGTTAGAAGAGGGCACTGAGTTAGCCGCTCGATTGGCCGCCCGACGATGCAGACTCTGGAGTAGCAAGGCCGGCCAAAGCTTGTGCAGCAGCGACTGCTTACCACCTACTGGCTCAGCTTCGTCGACTAAGTGCGAGTCGTGCAAGGCCAGCCAAATTGCGAGTTGCACGGCCACTTGTCAGGCCAACATTTGTAGCTACATCTTGTCCTGCCCTCCCGTGGCGCAGGACTTCCGTCCATTTACAATTTCACTTTGTTTCGGCCCTTGTTAAGTTTCTGTTTCCCTTCAGTTCGGCTCTTGTTTGCAATTGTTTCCTGTTCGGCTCCTATAATTAATGTGGAATAACGTGATGTGATTTGGACAACGACAAAGATAAAGCTAGCCTAATAATAAGTTGGAAGATTTCGGACCATATTAATATACAGGAGCTGGCGAGCCTGGCTAGGCGTCCACCCTAACATGTTGTAGAACTAGATGAGGCCCCACACATTTGATGCGGGAACTTGCAAAAGAAATGCGTAAATAGTTGCTACAAAAACATTGAAAATTAATAGTACACAAATGTATGTTTTAAAAACAATAATTTTTTTTACTAAATGTATAAAAAGAGAAAAATTGAGTTGCGATCAAAAGGAAGTCATTTAAAGCAAAAACATGAACGGTGAACTACATAACATGGATACTGCAATGGCCCAACACATATATTGTCAATACAAAAAGCTAACGTAGAAAGTTAATTTATGACAAACATGCCTGGAGTGATGATGCGCTGCATGCATATATAGAGTTATGCAAAAGAACAAAAAAAGTCATTTATGACTAGTTGCATGGCTAGAAAAAATTAGGATGTGGTTTGTAGCTATTTATAGATAACAAATTAGTTATACTAGTCGTGAACCCATGCATTCACATGGGCTAGCTATAGAAAAGTATCTTTCATAGTACGTTCGAAACAAATATTAGTAATTCTGAGAATCTAGCACGGTCATCAAATAAAAATACCATACAGTATATTGAAAACTTGCAGTTGTATACCCAAATCAATGCAGATAATAGTAACTCGACTTTCTTCAATATCAATTGGGGACCTAGCCAACAATGCCAAGAATTAGGAGTTTCACTCAGAAAATAGAAATAAAAGTGACAGCTACTTAGAGCATCTACAGCCGGGCGGCCCAAATCCGCCTCAAACGCCTGGGCGGACGGCTCGGTCACTGACCGGTAAGGAAAATGCGACCCAAACGGGCTCCTCAAACGGGCCTCAAACGCCAGGGCTGACGAGCACCCCTCATATCCAGCCCAAATCTGTGGCGGATATGGGGCGCTCGGGCGCGTCAGCAATGTTGGACTAATGATGCGGTCCCACAGGAAAGCACTCTAAAACCCGGCGGTCCGAAACCTATCTCCTCCATTGGACCGACGATGCCGCGTGGCGCCGGTCCAGCGGGCAGCATAGTGCCTAGCCCCACTATTTAAGCTGACCGCCGGCACCGAAACCCTACATGTACACATTTCCAGGCTCCCGTCCGCCGCCGCCACTTTCCACTCGCCATCCGCCACCACTAGTAGCCATGCCCCCATGCCGCCAGGTAAGGAGCTACCCATATCTAATGCCGGATTGCCGGCTGCAGCTATTTGAGCAGATCCGGGCAAGGCGTGAAGCCCGGATAGCCGCGGGGCCACCTCTGAACGCGGTGGATCCAAAGGAGGACTTGGAGGTGGAGGGGGGGGTGAGATTTAAGAGGAGGAGGAAGGAGGAGGAGGAGGAGGAACTGGGGGGGACACTGGGGACGCAGATCTGCGGGCAGAGCAGAACGCGATCCTAAATTCCCCCCGATCGGAATCGGAGGCGGAGGCCAACCGGCACCGTCTGTAGGAGGCGGAGGCGGAGCACGCCGCGGTATTCGACGAGATGCTCGCGTCTACGTATGAGGAGGAGGAGCCAGAACCCTCCTATGTGCACATCTACCCGCCGCCCGGCACCAATGTCGTGGACATCTCCGATGACGAGGCCTAGGCTAGGATAGTACGTAGTACGTGGGATTTCTTTTGCACTGAATCTGGCTGCATGTGATGAAAATAGCAGATTTGAAGTTTGTCACTTCTTTATCTAGTCTTGAGGGTGTAGTGGATCGTCGGTGGAATGGGTCTAGCCGGCCAGTTGTCATCTCTCTCCGAAAAAGTTCCGTCAGTAAGACGGGTCAATGGGTTTAGCTACTTATTAGGGATTGCAAGAGTAGCAGGAATGCAAAGTAAGCTTGCCAAGTTGACATACATCCTTTCCCCAAAAAAGAAGGAACTTGTTCGATAAAGAAGGAATAAGAATCCCAAAATCAACCCAACGCTCGCGGTTGAGTCCACATAGAGTTGAGTAGAGTCTGAAAAGGGTTACATGGAATATAATTAAGGCGATCGAGAAACCGATTATGACCAAGTTTGGACGTAAAGGCCAATGCTAGTACGGTTCTATCTATTCCAACTCAACCATGCATGCATGTATGTAGCCGTTTATATGTGTGCATGTTGAGTTTGAATTTGAAAGAAATAACAGAAAGAAGAGCTAGGCAGGCAGGTAGCCATGGCGGCGCCGGCGTTATACTACCTGCTGCTGGTTCCCTTACTGGCAATCATTCCCTTTTTATGCCTGATCCATTGCTATAGTTGGCGGCGGACTGTTGCACCAAGCCGTCTGCCTCCATCTCCATGGGCGCTACCGGTGATCGGCCACCTCCACCACCTCATTGGTGCTCTCCCGCACCGCGGCATGCGGGACCTCGCGCAGCGCCATGGCCCGCTCCTGCTGCTCCGCCTCGGTGGGCTCCCTGTAGTCATCGCCTCCTCGGCAATGGCGGCGCGCGAGGTGATGAAGACGTGCGACATGGACCTGGCCACCCGCCCGGTGAGCCGCATGATCCGCATTGCCATCCCCGAGGGTGCCGAGGGGGTCGTCTTCGCGCCTTACGGTGACACATGGAGGCTGATGCGCAAGATCTGCAACGTCGAGCTGCTGAGCGCTCCCCGTGTCCAGTCGTTCTGGCCCCTGCGCGACGACGAGGTTGGCCGGCTGCTCCGGGCGGTGGCACTGGCAGCTTCGGCGCAGCAGAAGCAGACGGTGAACCTAAGTAAGCTTGTCGCGGCGTACGCCGCCGACTTCTCCGCGCGCGCAATCATCGGCAGCCGTTTTAAGGAACGGGACTCGTTCCTGGCGATGCTGGCGCGCGGGATCAAGCTATTTGCCAAGATAGGTTTGCCGGACCTCTATCCTTGTTCTTGGCTCGCCATGGTCGTCAGCCGGATACCAGGCCAGATGAAGAAGCACAAAGAGGATGCAGATGCCTTCCTAAACTCCATTATCGACGAGCACCAGCAGAACTACAGAGTTTGTGGTGGTGATAAGGAGGAGGACATGCTGGACGTGCTCTTGAGGTTGCAGAGAGAGGGTAGCCTGCTGCGGCACCCTCTTTCTACTGACCGTATCAAGACAATCATGGGCGTAAGCATGCATGCACTAATTTTTTTTAGGGATAGCATGCCCTAATTAAGAGTTCAAATAAATGTTGTGATGGGCGTAGCTCAATTCATACAATATATCCATTTCTATTGACGTGTTTAGAAGTATTTTAGTTCTACATACATCCATTTTTATCCATTTCTTTGAAATTTATTTTTATATATGCTATGCGCGTGATGCATTAATTGCATGCTCAAATGTAGGATATGTTTGCCGGGGGGAGCGATACCGCTGCAACAACACTGCAATGGATCATGGCCGAGCTCATGAGGAACCCCAGACTGATGCATAAGGCCCAAGAAGAGATCAGACGAGAATTGGCTGGACAGCACAAGGTGACAGAGAAGGGCCTAAGAAATCTCAACTACATGCACCTGGTCATCAAGGAGGCGCTTCGACTGCACCCTCCGCTGCCCCTACTGCTGCCGCGAGAGTGCCAGAAAAACTGCAAGCTCCTAGGCTACGACATACCCAAGGGCACAATGGTGCTCGTGAATGCATGGGCCATAAACAGGGACCCCCGCCACTGGGACGCACCCGAGGATTTCATTCCGGAGAGGTTTGAACGTAGCAACATTGACTTCAAAGGGACCAACTTTGAGTACACGCCATTTGGGGCAGGGCGGCGGATGTGCCCGGGTATGGCCTTTGGTCTGGTGAACATAGAGTTCGCGCTCGCTGGGCTGCTCTACCACTTCGACTGGGAGCTGCCACACGACACACAGGCCGGGAAGCTGGACATGGCAGAAGAAATGGGCGTCACTGTGCGCCGTCGTCAAGACCTTTTGCTTGTTCCGACCATCCGAGTGCCTTTGCCAATAGACTACCAGTAACAGCAAATGCTTTCTTCTGTACATTTTTTACGGTAATGTGTTACATGTTTGTTGTGCGGTGCTGTTGCATGCATTGAAAGGAATAAGTAAAATTTGTTTTGATCAAGAGACGCACATTGCATGAAGCCTTT